TTATACAAACTGACTTTGAACTTATCGATAATATGTGGGAAAGATTTAATTGGAAGGTGTCCTTAGCATGCTTATTAGAATTGGATGCAGATTGAGATATTTTACACTTGTTTGAATGGTAAAACATGGATGATAGTTGATGCTATTGCAAGTTGTACCTTGATGTATAATAGAAGATGCTTATTACTTTTTGGATGAAATGGCCACCAATAGCTATCAATTGCCAAGTGGGCATTCAAGTATAAATAGGGTTGTTGGTCTTCATGAGATGGATCCTATTATTGCTCTTACAGCTCAATTATCATTCCTCACTGGCCAAATAGTTGCATTAACTACATAGGGAACTCAACCAATAGTAGAGTCCGCTATAGCTATTTCTATGCCACGCCAAGAGACATATATAGAGAATGAGCAGGTTCAATATGTAAACAATCGAGATTTCAACCATTGAGGAACAACTTGTTGAAGCACTACCATCTATGGTGTTACGAAATCATAAAAAATCTATATTATAGTAATCGTAAGGTATGCTCCAAGCTCATCGGTTCAATAATTAAGCTACCGAAACGAAACCATCATTAAAAGATCTTTTGAAAATCTTAATTTCTATGACCATGTCGAGTTTTAACAAGAATGAGTCATGACTAACAATATTGAAAATCATATAAACAACATGAGGGCCACGATAATATCTCTTGAGGTGTAGATCGATCAGCTAGCTATTTCAATAAATTCACAACTGAAAATAAATTTCTTAGTGATACAGAGGCAAATGCAAGAGAACATTGCAATGCCATCACCTTAAAAGTTGTAAAGATATTAATGATAGCAAGCCTAAAGAGTCTTTGATTTCTATATATGTTTCTAATGAATAAAAAGAAGAGCAATATGAAGATCAGAAAACTAAAGCAGAGAAAACAAAGAAGGCTCGTAAACCCAATTCAATTTCACTTTCTGACAATCTACCATTTTAAAACCATCAATCCTATATCCATATAGATTCAAGAAGAAGATGTTTGATGCACAGTTCGCAAAGTTCCTGGATATTCTCAAGAAGATTCATAAACAAAACTTTTATGGAATCACTGGAAAAAATGTTGATTTATGCAAAATTTATAAAAGTGGTAATGTTAAAGAAAAAGAACTAAAAGGAGTATGAGATGGTAAAGCTAATAGAAGAATGTAGTGCTATTCTCCAGAAGAAGCTTCTTAAGGAGTTAAAGGATCCAGTTACCTTTATAATTCCTTGACAATTAGCGGTTTTTCCTTCGATAAACACTATGTGATCTATGGGCTAGTATCAAATTAATGTCTTTCTCTGTATTCAAGTAATTGGGTCTTGGGGACGTAAAGCAAAAAACCATCACTTTGTAGCTTGCTGATAGATCTCTTACACACCCACAATCATTGAAGATGTGTTGGTTAAAGTGGATAAATTTATTTTTCAGCTGATTTTTATGGTATTGGACACGGAGAAAGATCAAGAGATCCCATTAATTCTTGATCGACCATTTATACAACTAGTAGAGCACTAAATGATATATGAAAAGGACAATTGACACGACAAGTCAATGAAAATACGGTCATGTTCAATTTGTACCAAGCTATGAGATTCCCTGAGGAAGTTGATGCTTGTCATAGGATCGACTCTATAGATGTAGATGTAGGTAAGATTTATAAAGAAAATTCAGCTAAGGACCCTTAGAGCAATGTATTGTGACTAGTGCTTGAAGAGGATATAAATACTCTAAATATTACACAGGGAGTAAGGAAGTAGATGATTTTATCTTGGCTTATGAAGCTTTGCCACTCAAAAATAACTTGAAATAGAAAAACGATCATTTGGAGCCTCTCAACATTATCGGATCCAAATAAACTTGAAGTACTAAACCTAAGTTGATGCCACTTTTTGACCATCTTTGCTATGCCATTTTGGAGGAAGATTATACTGTAAAGAGCTAAATTATGATTTGAAAGCAAACGGTGCTAAACGTCTTTTGCAACTTGATGAAATGGAGGAATCCCGCTATAACGCCTCTGAAAATGCAAATATCTACAAATAATAGATTAAGAAATAGTATGAAAAGATGGTATTAAGGAGAAAATTTATTCCATGACATCAAATGCTTCTTTTAATTCCTGGTGGAAGTTGTTCAGGATAAGCTTAAATCATGATGGTCAAAACTATTCACCATTTACAATATATTTTCTCTTGGGACTGTGAAGTTGAAGGGGAAAAAATGGACTTATATTCCAAATCAATGGTCAATGACATAAGCATTATTATGGAGAACAAGAGTAGAAAGTGGAAGGAATTCCTCATCAAGATTTAAACTAGAGCACACAAGCGATGTCTAAGCTAATGACATTAAAGAAGCACTTATTGAGATGCAATCCAATCTCTTTCTCCCTTTTAAATTATATAGATTTTACTTAGCGTTTTTTATTTAATTTATTCCTCGTCTCCACAAGAGGATTATTTCATTTACTTCTCATCTTCATGAAAGGATGTTCCATTTATTCCTATCGAGGAAAGCTTGCTCCAAGGATCTTCAAATTGGCGTTTTTTCTGGCTCACTTTCACGTTACCTTTTTCTACCAAACAATCAATCTAGTTAGCTCCAACCGATAACCAATATATTCACCTCGGTTGCTTCTCAATCTCACTTATGAAGGACAAGATAATAGTGATGATTTACGAGCCACAAGCGCATGAGAAAAATATTGGAAGAAACACAATATGAAGGCCAAAACGAAAAGAGGAAGTCATCAGAATTCTTTCTCAATTGCAGTCGATTTTTCATAAGGAAGGCAGCCCCATTTCCTAGGCTAGAAACACATATATATAGGGTTAGGTAAGGCTTTAAATAGACCAATAATAAGGTTAAATGGGTAATATGTATCAGTCGGGCAGAGCCTTTGGATTTGGTTGTTGATAATTATTTCACTCATCGGTCGAGATCTATGAAATATGTTCCGACGTTTCACATCATGGCTCAGGATTTATTTGGTATCAAAATCCAACAATTCCTAACCATTCAAACAAAATTGTTTTCATACTATTCGCTAACCATTCAAACAAACTTTTTTCCATATTGACAGAATTTCTCCACCCTCGTAATCAAATAGATAATATAATACGAAATACATATACGTAAACAAGTTTGTATTTGAAAAGAAAATGCTCAATTAGTTCAACATTATATCATGATGCAGTATTTTACTAAAAGGTTAAATTTATATAAATGCTGTAGATCTATCAGATTCACAAAATTGATGTTAGATAATTGCCTTATTTCTTCGGGAATGGATGTGGGACGTCATGACAAATAAAGAGATAAATGATATTCCCAGCAAAATCATAGACCTCCTCATTTGTCATGAGGTCCCACACAATTTCAACCGATCAAAGTAAGACGATTATATGTTGGTAGAGGATGCTATACACTAAAATAAATAGTCTACTACCACATTTTTCCTCACAGTTGTTGGACGATGGATCATTGATAAAAGTCTTCTTCATTCAACTACGGGCTCATATTATCTTCAAAACTATAAAGACCATATTAAAAGATTGCTATTAGAATGTGATTAAGAAATAGTTCAAGAACAAAAGAGAAATGAAGAACACAATAAAAGAATTCCATGTCAAGGAATTGACAAAATAAAGAAATAAATAAATAATATTAATCATGTAAAGTTAATTGCTTAAGCATTATACATATCAAATTAAATCAAAACGTATCAAGTGATCAAAGTTCTTACGTTCTAAGATTTCTGGGTATCAATTGTATCGATAGAAAACAAAGAATTAAAAGAAACCATATAGAATGTCTAAGGATAATTATTTAAACGAATTTATGACAATTTGAAATATATAAATGATTTTTGAGAGTTGGTGCTTCGGACTTCATTAAGTATTAAGAATTATTCAGAGCAATAACCTAAATGAAATTAATTTATATAAAAAAAAAAAAAGATAATTAAATTACACAAAATACAACAATCTATTTTAAATTATATACAATCTCAAATTACATTAAAGATCGTAAAAACTGATCCTAATTGTTGGTGAGGAGATTTTTACGGAAATTAACATCAATGGCATCTTAAAATCAGTAAAAATATAATTTAATATGGAACAAAGAAATTTTCACTTAACATTAAGAAAAGGCGAAAATTGTTTATTTCTTTTTTATTTTAAAGGTTTCTTGTAAATTTCTAACAAACTTATATCTCGAAAAACTCTTGATGAAAAATCTATAACGTTGGTATTGTAAAAGTAGTAATACCAGAGCAATGATGCAATAATAATCACATGAGCACACACTAAATATTTATCGCTATTCAAATAGAGCAAACAATATTTCTGAAAACTCGACTATAGATTGACCAATATCTTTAAAAACTCGGGATAAAATCGAGTTATAGACTGTAGTTGTGACAATTTTATGTATATTGATACAAAGAATTATGATAAATTAAACCGATACACACGCATTTATAAATATTTTTTGGCTGACCTGTAATGTAAAACCATAACGGATAAATTTTAGACAAATTCAGTACTGTATGAATATAAATCATCACAAAAGTCTCACCTTCTTCGTCTACTTTTCTTTACTTTCTTGAATTCTCCTCCGCCTTCTTGACGTTTTTACTCAAATCAAGAATTCTCTACTTACTTTCTTGACAAATCTGATAGCAAGATAAACAAACAATGGTAGGTGTCCGTAACAATTTGGTGGATTTAGTCACACTTTTGCTCTCAATTCCCATCATAGGAGGGGCATATTGCTCTGAATTGGATGCTTCAAGAATTTAAGAATGTGATCAATTGAGAATGAAGAAAATATAGACTAAGGAATCAAGTCCAGCCAACACTTACATGCCTTACATTCATTTTCCTCAAAGGCTTACGAAAAATAAAGAAGACAAAATTTGAAAAATTTCTTGATGTTCTCAAGAAGCTTCAGGTCAATATACTGTTCATTGGTAAAATGTTACAAATTTCAAGCTACACAAAATTTTTGAACGAGATGTTGAAAAAGAAAACAAAGCTTCCGAAGTATGAAACTGTGGTATTAACTAAGAAAAGTGGTGCAAAAGTACAAAGTAAATTATCTACCAAGCTGAAATATCCAGAGTGTTTTACTTTGCCTATCTCAATTGAAAATTCTTGTTCTATTAGTACATTGTGTGACACAGGTACTTGTATAAATCTAATTATGTCATATTCTATTTACAGGAAATTATGATTGGGTCACATCAACATCAATAACGTTATAACTAGTTGATAGAACAATTCCAAAGCCATGTGCCAAAGTTGATGATAAGCTCATAAAAGTAGAATATTTAATATTTCCTTTAGACTTTATTGTGTTGGACGTACCAAAAGATCAAGACATTCCTGTTATAATGGGTTGGTCATTCTTAGTAACGGATAGAACCCTGATTGACATGGAGAAGGGTGAGTTAATATAAAGGGTGGAGGACAAGAAAGAGATATTGAATATTTACATCCAATATGACCAACCCCTAACATCAAAGCTTGCTGTAGAATTGATGAAAAAGAGCCCCCTAATCAATGATGCTATCAAAAAAGAAAATCAAATTTTGGTGGACTTCTTGATAGATATGAGAATGAAAATATCAAAATTTGGAAAGCAAAGAAATGGTGCATTAATGAAAATTGCATAAAACACAAGGATGGAAAAACTTGGTTCAAACTACCATAATTAATCATGGCAAAAAGTCAAGCTAATGACTTGAAACAAACGTTTCTTGAAAGGCACTCCAATTCTATCCCTTTCGCATTATTTAGTTTTCAATTTTAGGATTATTTATCTTATTGATGTAAGATTCTTGTTGTGTTGTTTGTAGGAAGATTATCTAGTTTGTGGGCGACAACGCTGTTAGAAAGCCAATCCATATTTACCTTATTAGGGTGATGGCGACACAATAATTAATGTATTTAGGGAAGTCCTAACCTTCCTTTGTATATACTTTAATATTGAGGACAATAAATACTTTCAGTTTGGAAGTGAAAAAAAATTGAGATTTTAGTTTTATTATTCCCTTGTGATTATCTGTTTCTACTTCTTTATTATACATATTAAAAAATTGAAAAATTGAAAAGTTTTTAAAAAAATTTCAAAAAAAAAAATTCTTATTTATTATGTGCTTCTTGTGTGGGGTTAGATAACCTTGTCGGTAAAAATATTTGGAATGATGTGTTATTTTATGAACTGTTGATAGTTACACATGCTTAGATTAATTAATTCTTATGCATGTAAAATTTGATATTATTTATGTACATGAATTAAGTTTAGCATTATAAAGTAATTGGTTGATTCATATGCTTGATAGGTTGAAATAGTGGAACTTAGACGCTAGACCCAAAAATTGCTACAATATACATCATTCGACCAAATTTAAAATAGTTTAGATTGATTTTACTATTGTAGAGAAATATGGATATGAATGGGGATTCCAATATCTAAGGCTAATATGATGAAAATTAGGTGAAAATCTTAAGTTAGGGGTTGATTTTTGAGAATGAGTGTTTAATAAGGGACATTTCATTAATTATTGCATAAAGAAAAATGTGTTATTTCATTGTGAAATATCTCTTCGTAGCTTTTATAACTTAAGTGATTAAGACTATAAGAGTAGCTAAAGATGGTGTCCTATGGTCATTGACTTGGAATAATCGATTGAAAGCTCATTATAGGAGTCATTTAGAAAGCTTAATATAGAGAAGTCCGCACATAAGAGAAGTAAAATTGAAAAAAATAAATCTGAAAAAAGCAGGTGCATGAAATAGAATATGCACATTATGTCTTGGTTATGCCCTAAACACTTATTTGAGAGAATTAGATCTTTGAGAAGGGATTATTAACCTAGTTGAGTCAAGGAGGTTGAAGACCTCAATCAAAATTTAGAGAACCCCTATTTGTTGAAGTATTGATTTGCAATTAGTGAGATTTACCTAAACTAGAAACTGTAAGGAGTTAGTATCAAGATTCAACCTTAGATCATGCACTGGAAAAAGAGTAAAAGAGAATAAGTTTGTATGTGTGGGAACTTACGAGTGAAGGAAGGACAAATTTGACCACAGAGGGTCAAGAATTAAAACAACTTCTGCATTTATGATGTTTGAATTAATCTTTGACACACACCTATTAGTTTTGGTTGAACATGTTGATATTGATTTTCGTATGGTGACCTTGAAGCTTCTTATAAATTTAATACAATGATTCCAATTTTAAGACAAAATGGTAGGTTATCTAAATAAAATTTTGTTGCATGTTTGTTAAATTAGGTTATAGATAACACTTTATAACAATTATTGTAAAGTCTAATAGGGGATAGAGATACACCACTATACTTTGTATGATTTCTAAAAATGTTCTAGCGTTTTTAATGTATGCTTTCATGTTCGCATCTTTCATAGAGATATAGGAAGGTCACATAAGAAGATAGACTGAATTGACATTGAGAGATGCTTTTAATTAATTTAGAAACATTGAGATACAAAAATGTATGCATATTGTCGTTTTATTGATTTGCATTAAAACGAATTAATAAAAGGGATTCAAGGTCTTAATAATATCACATTGAAATTTAAAAAAGCTTTATCAATTGATCAATAGTATAGTTAGTTTAATTAATTAATTTAACATAATACTCTTCAACAAAATTTGCTATTTGATTAAAGTTAAGATTAATTCCTCTTGAGAACGATATATTACTTCACTTTATTACTTGTTTGTGATACTGTACACTTGTGGAAAATCAAATTATCAAAAAGCTTTTTTGGTGATTGCAAATTCAGCCTGTGAGATTTTCTCCGATGTAAAGAAGATAGACGGGATTTTTACTTTGGTAGTAAAAGCAAAAGAAGATGCTGAGAAAATCTTATATCTGTTAGAAAATTATTAGAGGAGTTTTAGAGTGTAATTGTAGAACTAGAAGAATTAACTCCCACAAGAATATTTAGCATCAGATTGATTTTGTCCCTAGGGCTCACCTTCTAACCTATCCCATTATCTGATAAACCTGAAATGGAGTCAGATTTTGCAAGAGAAGAATAAGAAGTTCCTTTTAAAGGGTCATGTCAAAGAAAGTATTAGTCTGTGTATATTACTAGCCTTAATAGTACCAAAAATGATAGATCATAATGGACGTGTGTTGATAGTCGAGCAATCAACAAAATTACTATACAATACAGGTTTTTTTTATGGAGGCTGGATAATATGTTGGATTAGATCCGATATTAGTGGAAAACAACTTTTACAACAAATGAGGGCTTGTATGAGTAGCTAGTTATGTCTTTTGGCATTTTCAATGCAGCAAGTACTTTCATGTAATTGATGAACAGATTTTGAAACCTTTTTTTGGACATATTTATTGTTGTTTATTTTGGTGATATTTTGATTTATAACCAAAGTAAAGTTGATCATGAAGAACACTTGAGGAAAGTGTCTGAAGTATTACGGGATAAAGAATTATTCATCAATTGAAAAGTGTATCTTTATAACGAATAGAGTTCTATTTTTTGGGTATGTTGTAAGTTCTAAAAGGATAAATATAGATGTGCAGAAAGTTAAGGTGATCAGAGCTTCGCCAACATTGAGTTTCTTTTCTGAGCTATGAAGTTTCCATGGGCTTGCTACTTTCTGTAGGCATTTTATTTGGATTTTAGAAGTGTAGTGGCTCCTATAACTATTATTTCAAGAAGAAGAATGGTAGATGTTTGAGTGGACCGAAGTTACTGCTAAGAACTTCGAAGAGATCAAGCAAAAATTGACTTTTACTTCCATTTTGGTATTTATAGATTTGAGAAATTATTTCAGATTGAATGTGATGCTTGGGACATTGGAATTGCAGTATTAGTGGAAATTTAATTATCAATCCCCACGGGTTTGACATCCTAACTCATTGTTATATTATAAAACTTGACGTCATACATTACCGTACAATTTCAACTAACAAGTTTTTTGGGGGATTGATTGATTTTATTTTTACTAATATTATTACTAATTAACTTTGATTTTATTTAGATTTCTTCATTTTTAATTGTTTACTTGTTGGCATTTTAGCTGTTTATATGAAGATAGAATAGTTTTGAATTACGACCCTTTGATCCTGAGATTGAAAGAACATTTTGGAGATTAAGGGTTCTAAGAAGAAAAGAGATTGAAGAAATAGCTACTAATGACAACCAACAACAACAGGCTATTCAAGATTATGTTCGACTAGTCATCAATGACAACTACTCTTGATATGAACCCCTATAGTAATGGAGATAACAAACTCACAAAAGATTGTTGAACCCAAAAAGGCCAAAATTAATCTTGGTTTTCGATTTAAACCAAGGATTATGAACCAAGCAACCGGCACAATACAAGATTTGTAGACCTCTTGATTACACACTTCGTAATTTACACCTAGTGTTGAATGCCTTAAGATGTCACTCTTGATAAGTTCAAATTTGTTCAAAGAAGATCAAGGATTGTGAAAGCAAGAATTTTGCCTCTCTATTAAATTCAATAAAGTCAAAGAGTTCTACAATGGAAGAATGAAAAATATATTTGTACTAGCCCTAGAAATCTAGTAAAAACGGAAAATATTAATTAGAGATAACAAGAATTTTGCTTAAAATAGAATTCTAACAAAATAAGGAAATTCGTGAGAAGAGAAATTTTTTGCCATGACTTTGTACCATGCGACCGCATGGTATTATCTTGTGCGGCGCATGGTGACCACAATTTTCCCCATCCAAGTCTCTCGTGACCACCATGCAGCCGCATGATGAGAACAACTATGCGACTGTATAGTTGTGCAATTCAGTCCCAACTTCGACTGCTTGTATTGATCCAAATGGTTCTGGTTCTTGATCCCATCATAAGACTTTCTTCTTTTCTTCCATAGATTGATGTTTCATCAATAGTTTATTGCACAAGTAGCCCCATAACTTAAATTACCCGCTTATCCCTCAAATGCATCATTGGTCCTCGTTCGATAATGAATGGGTCTTTTCTCAGGTTCGTCTTCATTGGGCTCGTCCTTTGGATCACATCATTCCCTCTCTTCAAAGAGATTCGTCCTCGAATTTGGACTCGCATCAAAGAGAGAGATCAGATACGTTGAAGGTTGTTAAAACGTTATACTCACTTGAGAGATCCTATATGAAGGCGTTGTCATTGATTTTCTCAACAACTTGGAACGGTCCATCTCTCCATGGTTGCAACTTTTATTTTCTCTGTTCTGAAAAATGCGCCTTTTTGAAATGTACCCAAATACAATCAACTGGTTCGAAGGTCACACTCTTCTGGCCCTTGGCTATTTATGATGCAACGTGCTTGCTTTTGTTCTCAATCTGCATTCTGACCTTTTCATGGAGTGACTTTACCAATTCAGCATTTCTCTTACCATCTACGCTATCACATTCATTCACAAGTAAAGGTATTAAATCCATAGGGGTTAGTTAGTAGATTAAAACCATAAACAATTTCAAACGGTGAAAATGACGTAGTAGAATGCGCGGCCCTATTCTATGCAAACTCTATGAAAAGTAAACACTCATCCTAACTTTTCAAGTTCTAATTGATCACAGTGTGCAATAATTGAGTCATTGTCCTATTTACTATCTCGATTTGCCCGTCAGTTTGTGGATGACAGTTGTAGAAAATAGTAATTTTTTTTGCCTAACTTACCCCACAAAACCTGCCAAGAATGAATTAGAAATTTGACATCCCTATCTAACACGATACTCTTAGGGACTCCAAGTAAATGGACTATCTCCCTAAAAAAAAATCATCAATGTGAGTGGTATTATCAGTTTTACGACACGGTATGAATGCGTCATCTTGCTAAACCTCTCTACCACTGTAAAGATTGAATCTCTTCTTTTTTCAGTTCGAGGTAAACCCAACACAAAGACCATTGAAATATCGACCCACGATTTGCTAGGAGTAGGTAAATGTGTATACAGCCCATGAAGTAAAACCTTAGACATAGCTCGTTTATAGTTTATACAACGACTATATGTCTATTCAATGTCACTCTTCATCTTAGGCTAATAAAAATGTTCCAGTAACATTTCTAAAGTCTTCTAAACCTCAAAGTATTCCATTAATCCCCTACTGTGTGCTTCCCTCACTAACAACTCTCGCATTGAACAATTTGGAACTCATAATTTATTTTCCTGAAACAAATACTAGATCATTTTCATAATGTCCTTAATGTGTTAAAAAACAAGCAATTTAGGACTTAACAAAGTTAGTAGCACATACTTCCTACACAATTTTTCTGTCACTGTATTCTCGTTACCTTGCTTGTACCGGATGACGTAGGAAAATGTCAATAAATTCCATCCACATTGCATGTCTTTTGTTCAACTTCCCTTGACCTCACAAGTTCTTTAGTGACTCATGACCAGTGTGTATCGCAAATTCCTTAGGCTACAGATAATGTTGCTATGTCTCCAAGGCTCGAACAAATGAGTACAACTTTTTGTCATATGTAGGTTAATTGAGAGCAGCTTCACTTAACTTTTCACTAAAATTGGCTATAGGCCTCCTATCCTGCATCAAAACTGCTCTAATCCCTATTCTTGATGCATTATACTCTATCTTGAAAGTTTTATCAAAATTAGTAAGTGCTAAAACAGATGATTTACACAATCTACTCTTAATGGTATTAAATGCATGCTCCTGTTCTTTTCCCCAATGAAATCCTATGCTTTTCTTAACTCCTCAGTGAGTGATGTAGTGATTGTGCTAAAGTCCATCACAAATCGCCTAAAAAAACTAGCCATGAAAACTCCGTACTTCAGTTATGCTCTTAGGGGTTGGCCAATCCATATACTTTTACCCCATTAGCACTAATCACAAATCCTAGTAAGACAACCGTTTACATGAAAAATGTACATTTCTTAAAGTTAACATAAAGTTTTTCTTTCCTTAAAACTATAAGCACACTCCTTATATGTTTTACATGCTCATCAAGGTTCTTGCTATAGACTAATATTTCATCAAAGTAAAACACATCAAATTTTCTCATTAAAGGTATGCAAAACATGGTTCATCAACTGCATGAAAGTGCTTGATGCATTCGTGAGTCCAAACGGCATACTAACCATTCATTCAATCCATATTCAGTTTTAAATGCAGTTTTTCATTCATCACCTTCTCCCAATCTAATTTGATGACAACCACTCTTAAGATTAATCTTATTGAATATACATGCACCATGTAACTCATCTAGCATATCATTTAACCTAGGGATATGATGATGAAACTTTGCAATTATGTTGTTGATGGCTCTATAATTCATGCATATTCTCTAAGTTCATCTTTCTTTGGCACAAGTAGCACTGGAACGGCACATGGATTCATGCTTTCCCTTATATCCATTGCTTAGCAGTTCCTCCACTTGCCTCTATAATTCTTGTCTCGTCGGGATTATTTCGGTAAGCTGGTCGGTTTGGAATGATAGCCCTAGGTATAAAGTTAATTTGGTGATCAATGCATCGAATGAGTGGCAATCTTCTTGGCACGTCCTCTAAAAACATGTCTTCAAATTCCTATAACAAAGATTTAGCCAAATTAGTAAGGGGTGGATTAGATTCCTCAAGATTGAGGACTAACTCTTTATAGATCAACAAAATCATCTATTTTCTCTTGATTACCGCTCTCTTTAGCTCACTTCCTTTTCCAAAAAATTCACTCTAGACTTTTCTCTCTTCTCGGAAGACTATTTTTTTTTTCTCTCTTATGGTTCTACTACCTTTTTTTTTTCTCTACCTCACCTTTTTCTCTCTTACTTAGCATCTTACTATTTTTTCTCTAACTCTATCTCTCTTCTTATCTTCATTTTTCAGTTTGATTTGGTCTTCATATATTTGTACCGGTATTAATGGTATAAGGATAATGGACCTTCCATCATTGACAAAGCTATAGCAATTTTTGCACCCGTTATGAATGACCTTCCTATTATATTGCCATGTTCCCCCCAATAAAAGATGTCCTGCATGCATAGATACTACATCACGATAACTCCCAATTGAGAAATTTTTCAGTACCCTCCATTTTCCTTAATTTCTCCACATTAATTTAACCATCGCATCCTATGAGGTCTAGGGTATTTTAGTAAAGTTAACCCTAATTTCTCTACAAGAGTTATGCTAGCTACTTTCATACAACTTCCTTAATCAATAATCATGCTACATACCTTATCATTAATGTGGTATCGAGTGTAGAACATGTTTTCCCGCTACTACTCCAAGTCATTCGCCTTGATTTGAGTGTTAAAAGCTTGCCTCGTGACCAATAGGTCTCCAAGAACAAATTCCACTTTCTCTCTATCAATAATCTCCTCCAACTTTGGCATGTCATCATAATCATCTTCATTTTCACTCACCACCTTTTTGTTGTTCTGGAATACCATTGTACTTTTGTTTGGGCATTGAAAAGCGATGTGTCCTGACCCAAGTACTTAAAACACTTAATATCCCGACTCCTTGATGTTTGTGACTATGTCTTGGGTACGATTTTCTAGCACTTTATTCTTTTGCCCTTGGCATTTCAGTTATTCCTTTATAAATGGCCCTGTTTTTTTGTTGTTATCCCACTTCTATTTCCAAGATGAATTAGGAGCCAAAGAGCCTAATGGTTGCCTAGCTGTCCCATTCCTCTTCAACTATCTCTCCACCTTCATTGTCATATACATCATATCTTCTAATTCCACATAGTGCTGCAACTCTACACATTGGCTATATCCCTATTCAACCTATTTAGAAAACGAGCTATAGTAACTTCCCGATCCTCTTCCACATTTGCCCTAATCATTAATATTTCTATATCCTTGTGGTAGTCCTCAATACTCTTTGACCTCTAATACAAACTTCGTAATTTTTGATGCCGTTTCCTATAATAGTGACTAGGTATTAGCCGCTTTCACATAATAGCTTTCAACTCATTCCAAGTATTGATAGGTCGTTCCCAAATCCTACGCCGTGATGTAACCACTTGATCCCACCAAGTTATGGCATAATTGGTGAAATCAATAACGATTATCTTTGCCTTCTTCTCCTCTGAATAATTATGGCATTCAAAGACTAGCTTCATCTTTTTCTCCTACTCTAAATAAGTTTCCATATCACTTCTTCCGTTAAATGGTAGAATTGACATTTTAATGTTACCCATGTTCCCATCTATTTGGTTGCCAACGTAATTCCTACCTCTCATTTAAATCTTAACTCCTCTACTTCTCATCCATC